GCAGTGAAAAGCATTAAGGTATGTGAAGCTGTTTATTATGTCGCCTTATTTGCCATTAAATATTTTGGTTAAACTTTGAATTGCAGACTATGTTTTACTGCAAATCAGGTATCGGATGAGTTAATTGGACTGATTTTTTTCATGGTGCCTCTCAGTTTCCTTCAAAGTCCTAAAAATCACTTTGGTTTTTAATTTTAACCCTAGGTGGAAGATCAAAACCTGGATGCTTTCTTTTTTTTTGTTTTTTTTGGCAAACCTATTCAGTCTCCCTGACATCTATTTTATATCCAATACATGCCTAATTTAAGGTGAATTCAAAGCTGCCTAATTTAAGAACCTGATGAATTTTGGTGAGTCAGTCCCCAATTCCTGACGTCACACATATGGTTAGTGGAAAGAGCTCAACTGGACACCTGCCACAAGGGCAAGGGGTAGCCTACCTGACTTCCCTCTGGAGGGCAATCCAGCCCATTTGCTCAAGTCCATTTCAACCCTATCCAGCACATAGGAACCCGCAGTAAATATGAGCCTCCATCCACTAGGCCATCCCTAGGGCAAAGCACCCTTCCAGTGGCAGCTTTCACACCACACTTGGTAAAGAAACCACGCCGTATTCCAGAGGACAGCTGCTGAGCTCTGGGCTTACTTGCAAGAGGGGCACCCACCCTGCCTGCTGCACACATGGTGCACCAGCAGCACAGGAATGCACTAGAAGTCATCCCGAGAACAGGTAGCAGGAAGCCTCGGTACTGGTGGGGGCTTGTTTCCTGGGGGCTTGTTTTCCCATTAGGGTCTTAATGTAAAATGCATGTAAGTTTCAAGGAACTGGCTTTGCACACTGGAGTCCTCTCATCGCTGAAGCTGTTTTCTTGTCTGCTTTCCTTCCTAACTCCCTGACTCTTGTGTCTGGCTGCAAGGTGGCCTAGTTTCAAGATGTGTGGCAGAGAAAAGTGACAGACGATGTACTGGTACCATAGCAATACTTTTTACAGAATCAAAATGCCAAAATTAGTTGGTGCTGAAAGTGCTTTTGACATCTCATGCGGCATCCCTGCCTGCTGAATGCTCTAAGTAAGCTATTGCAAGGATCTATAAGAAAGAAGCATCGCTGAAGGTTTCAAGGTTTCATGTTTATTCCAAATGCATGTGGCACAGGAAGCACAAAGGCCTCTAAATTTAGGGTCATTCTTTTGGCCATGTTGCTGTACCAACCTTCAGCATAGTGAGCTGTTCTGACTCCCAGCACAGGGCCTACTGCTGTGAGGAGTACTGCCAGCTCTGCTGCCTCCCTGCCCACCTCTGTGGTTCCTCACCACTGTCCAGCGGAATCTCGAGCTGACCGTATCCTTTAACTAGTACAGAGAGGGCATTCTCCAGGAGGAGGGCCTGGCAACTGCCAGTTTCTATGGGTAAACCTCAAGGAGCCTTCACAGTCCACCCTTACAGAACTCCATACAACTGCAAATGCTGCTTTCAGCGTTCAGGGACTCTGAACACATTTTTTGTTGGCGGTGATGGCTGAAGTCTGGTTGCAGTTTGGTCAGGTCAGCAACGGCCTGTTGCACTCGAGAGCAATGGTGATTTTTTTCCTGAAGAGCTCTCTCGCTGGAGCACCACAACTCCCCTCCCTGGTGACCTGGAAGTTTTGAGAGATTGCTGCAGTGTCACAGAGTGGCTTTTGAGCCAAAGGCATGAAGGGGGGAAAAAAATGAATGTTTGAATAAATGACTTGTATAGCACAAGTTCAAATGGTAAAAAAATGGGACTTGTCTGGCCGAGAAGCCAATCTAAGCTTGCTACCTGCATTGCCTGGAGACAACTCGGCTCACTCCCTTTCCAATGAATGCTGTTATTGCAACAATATGCTTGTGCTTCTTTATGCTTAGCTGAGGCCCTTCAGGTCTCCTCCTGGGCTTGGGTCCCTAGTAGCTACAATGCCTCAGGCCAGTACTATAGAGCAGAAATGAGGTGGAGTTCAAACTGACAAGTATTTTCTCAAGGGCTCTGAAAGTGAATTTGGGATTCCACTGGCTTGCTCTTGCCTTATGGTTGCCTTTCCTTAACCCCACTAAGTGAAGCATTCAAGTAAAATCCAACTGAGATCTAGCACTACTTAGCAGCTGGGCCAAGTGTTGAAAGGTGGTACCCTTTAAGCAAACCTTCAATCAGCCTTACAATAAATGGAGAGGGCAAATTGTATTATAAACTTCAGTCTTCATAGTGCTAACTATAGGCTCAGAAAAGTTATCAGAAGTGCTCTTTATCTCTGAAGAGTGAATAAGTTGCTAACTGCATGTCCTGGGTTCAGCAGTAGCAGTCATTTTTCTCCTTCTTGGTAGCTGGTGCAGTGCAGTGTTTTGACTTTCAGCTCGGGAATAGAGCTGATAACAATGATGCTTTGGTTTGACCAAGGACTTTGTGAGCCTCATGCTCTGCCAGGGAGGAGGGGAAGCTGGGAGGAAGCAGAGACAGGACACCTGACCCAAACTGACCAAAGAGGTATTCCATACCACAGCACGTCATGCCCAGGATGTAACTGGGAGTTAGCTGGAAGGGCTGGGGGACTGCAGGGTTGGAGGAGGTATCGGTCGGTGCGTCGGGCTGGGGGGGGCGAGTTATTGGTTGGCTGGTGGTGAGGTGTTGTATTCTCTCCCCTTGTTATTTCCTTTATCATTATTATCATTGGTGGTAGCAGTAGTGATTTGTGTTATACCTTAGTTACTAAACTGTTCTTATCTCAACCCGCGGGAGTTGCATTGATTCTCCTCTCTGTCCCTCCGGGAGTAGGGGGAGGGAAAGAAGTTGGGGGGGGCGGAGTGAGTGAACGAGCTGTTTGACTGGGTTTAAACCATGATACTGCAGAACAGGCATTAGCAAAATGTATACTCCATTCAAGCGATTCATCAGAGGAGTTACAATGCTGTTAGTCCCTGCTTTTAAGGGCTCCTTTAAACAGCTGTCTATTAATAACAATAACAAAAAGAGCAGTGAAGTTAAAATCAACAAACTATTATCTGTTAGGATTATTCATGGAATATGACACTGTGAACACACTAAAAGCCCTAAATGCCAAATTTAGACAAGCAACATGAAGTGGAAGAGGGAAATTTTAGAGAACTGCTTCTGACGGAAGTGCTAAAAATGTGAAACGGTGAGGATTTTTTATCTCAAGAGCCATTCTTGGTATTGTTCAGTTCTAAGGCAAGTGCAGCTATCTAGAGAAGTGCTGAATTAGTTATGGGGCAGAAGATTTATCTGGGATTTTTTCCCAGTTCTCTCTCGTGTATGTTTTGACTTGGTTTAATATTTACTTTTACTAAAAACCAACGACAGCTTCTTACAGTGAAATGCACTTTCAGAGATAACAAATGAAAGATTTAGCTCTAAAATTCACAGCAGTGCCCAGAGCTCCCGTGTGTCACCTGCAATTTACTTGCTACTTGCCCAGTGTGATTTGCCTTGCTACTTTGATCTGATACATCCTTTGTGCTGGAATCCATTGCCCTTTGTGGCAGGATCCATCCTCACCTATTTATTTTATAATAAGCACCTTTTATAAACACCTTTAGACTTAATCCGTTTCCTTTTGGAAAAACAGAAACAATTACAATATAATTAGAGCACTTGGCTGTGTGCTTTTATTAAAAGGCAAAATGACTCCATTCAACAGAACAGCAGTAGGAGCAGTTTATTGCGTAAGTCAAACATTTTGTGGAAAGCTGTCAAGTTGGGCATGTTGCTAATTTCAGTCATTAGATACAGCCAAAAAATGTAATTGCCAGAACTGGCCATAGGTTACAGTCCCGGACTTCCCTCTCCCACATTTATGTTTTTAATCTTTGGGAATCGGTTTGTTTTTCTACGAGCCGTTTGTTGAAAAGGCACGTACGATCTGTCAGATTAATGTAATGTCTTGTGTGCTCCCGTCAAATCCAGGGGAGATAAAATCTACAAGGATACTTAATTAAAAAAGAATGTGATCTGGTTTATAAATCATTGCTGCCAGCCACCCCCGAAACGTGCACCGTGGAAACGGCCTCGCGTTAAAAGGGTGCAAGAAAAAAGCATAAACTCCTTAGGCCCGGATGTGAGTTAAACCAACTCACCGAATTAACTTTCTCCGAAGGACAGGCTAAGCCTTAAACGGCACCAAACACACACCGGCCTCTCCTACTGGGCAGTACGGAAACCCACGTTAACGTTACATAAAGGCGGACACAGCTGCCACGGGTGCCGCCAGCCTGCTGCGGCGCCTCTGCCAGCGCCGGGACCCCACACGGGCCGGGCCGGTGCCCGCGCAGGGGCCGCGGACGAGCGTGAGGAAGCATTTGCGGCACCCCCGCGCACCGCCCGCCTGCCGCACGGCACGGACGCGCGGGGTGCGATGGACTCACGGGCTCCGCAGCCAGCTCCGGCCCCTGGCGGGCTCTTCACAGCCGCCGGGCAGCCTCTCCGCTCGCCCGGACGGACGGAGCCTGCCGCTGCCTCGGCTGAGCGGGCAGCGCAGCTCCACGCACACAAAGCGCCGCGGGGCTGTGGGGCTCCAGGAGACAGGAGTGGGGCAGCATCCATTTACCTCATGCCGCGGGAGGCGGAGGGGGACACCGGCGGTGCGGGGCCGCGCCGCCACCACGTGCCCGCCGCCCCCCGTCACCTCCCACGGCCACGCGGACCCGGCTGTGTCGCGTCCCGTCGTCCCGTGCGAACACCCGCTCCGACGGATCTCCCCGCACGCACGTGCGCGGCCCGCCCGTGGCGCCCGTGTACCGGCTGCCCGCGCCGCGGACACGCGAGACCGCGCCCGGCTCAGAGCCACCCGGCCCAGCCAGGCCGCGCTTCCACGCAGCCGCTGCCTTGCGGCGGGCGCGCCTCGTCCCCGTCTTGTCCCCGTCCCCATCCCCATCCCGGTCCCCGTCACGCGACGGGAGCGCGCCTTCTTGCAAGGAGGCGTGGATGGGATGGGATGGACGGGGGGTGCCGTGGTGCAGCTGCGGCCGGCGGTAGGGCTGCCCGCTTGGCGCCCAGTGGGCGCGCGTGGCGGGGGCGCGCGGGGTCTCCAGTGGGAACCGCGCGTTCCCTGTCGCTGGCGGCCGAGAGGGCGAAGGGGTGGGGATGGGGGGGGGGGCGGGGGGGAGAGCGGCCTGCTCCTCCCCCCTCCCCTCCCGCCTCTGCCTCTGCCCCTGCCCCGGGGCGGCGGGTGGCGCTGGCCGCGGCGGGTCGGGGCTCAGTGTCCTTGTGCGGAAATGACACACGGTCCCGTCACGTCACGCGAGAGCGCAGCGCGCGGACCCTCGCACACAAAGAGCGGGGGGGGAGACGCGGGCACCAGCGGCGGCCGCTCCAGCCGCCCCCGCCGTCCCGGGGCTCCCGTGCCCACGCGCGGAGCTGAGGTAAGTGCCGCTGCCGCCGCTCGCCTCCCGTGCCGGGCGGGAGGGGCGCCGCTCCGCGCAGCCCCCGGCGGGGAGCGCCGCCCCGGCGGGTAGGGGAGGAACCGGGAGAGGGGCCGCGCCAGCGGAGCGGGGGAGCGGGAGGCGCGGGGTCGGCCCCTCCCCCCCCGGCAGCGGCTCGGGGTTCCGCCGCCGCTCTCCCCCCGCCGCGGGGGGCTCTTTGTTCGTGACTTGGAACGGTGCTGAAGCGCTGCGGCGCGGGGCACGCGCGCCCTGCCCGGTGCCTCCATCTGCGGGGTGCGCGGGGGGGGGGGAAGAGAAGGAGCGGGGAGATTGGAACGGTCACGCCGCCGTCACCTCCAGCCTCACCTCATCCCCTCCTCCCTCCTCTCCCCGCCGCAAGCCGGCCACATAGATCCGCCCGGGCAGGGTTCGGACCGGAAGCACCAACCGCTGCCGCCACCGCCGCCTCGGGCTCGTGGGTCTGACCGCGGAAGCGGCCCCGGCCGCCGCGTGCGGGGCGCGCGGGGCGTCCTCACCGCAAGCCCCCGCCTCCGGGCGGAGCGACGCCGCCGCGCCGTTCCCACGTGGCGCCTTCCGCCGCCACCGCCCCTCCGCGGGGAGTCCCGGCGGCGCGGGGGGGGGGGAGCTGCGGCGGAGCGCGGTTCCCCCTCCTTCCCGGTACCGGGTCCCGCCGGGGCGCAGCGCGCAGTGGTTTCGTAGGGGCCCGTGGAGCGGCGTGGCCCCGTGAAAGATGGGGCTGGGGTCTGGCTTGAGAAAAATGGTGGCAAGAGCGTCGAGAGAGTGGTAATTCACGCCGGTTCTGGGTGCGTGGTGCACTGGGGAGACCGGAGAAGGCCACCGCGGGGGAATTGCCTGCTGCCTTTGCCCGGCTTGCCTGCATTGCCCGCTGCCTCTACCCTACTTTCCCCTGTGGTATGTCCACACAGCCTTTTGTAAATAGAAGGGGACAAACTCTGAAGCAGCAGAATGTGAGCCGGCGGCAGGCCAGCAACCATGTGACAGCTGCCACATAGCGTTGACGCAGTCCCAGAGCTTTTTGGATTGAAGTGCTGGTAGTTTGTCGCTGCCACCTATAAAAACAGTGTGTGCCCGACCCTTGGGGCAGAGACATTTAAACAGGGGAAGAAACACCTCTTCTTTGCTTCTGGCTGATACCTGCTATTCAGATTATTAATGTACTTGAATGAATACATCTAATAAAACAAATAGTTGCCGTTATGTGTTGATAGATTTCTCTCCCGCTATATCAAAGTCAGCACTGGGCCAACTACGCTTTCTATCTTTGCTAAGTATTTTCATAGCTTAGACGTCTGGTAGATAAAAATGAAGCAATGTTGAATGCAGTTCGGAGGAGATTTTAAGTTGTCTGTATGAAGTTCACATGGTGCAGTATTTTAAAATAAAAGGGAAGAATGAGAGGAGAGAGAATGAAGCATTGAGGAAAACAAAGTGTTTCTAATAGACCAGGGAAAGCACCTGACTGAAGAGAAGCCAAATTGATGCATTAATGCTGGAAGTAAGCTAGGTTAGTATTTTGCTGATCACTGCAAGATTAAGTTGGTGTTTGGTAAAGTACAGGGGACAGGTTGAGAAAACATCTGTGTTGGGCAACTTGTGGGAAAACTGAGAGGAGTGATTTTTTTATTATTTTTATTTAAAACTGCATCTGCAGATGTAACTAAAATTAAATAAAGGCCCAAAGTGAAAACATGCCCCGTAAGTCCTGTTGGCAAAGTGCCCTCACTGCAGGCTGGCTTCAGGAGGCTTGAGGCTTCCTGTCCTTCTCCACAGGGCAGCAGAGGAGGTTTTCAAACTATGTTAAGTATAGGAATTTTATTGTCTGTAAGAGTAATGCTTCCAACAACATCTGCTGGTGCTTTTAAAAATACACTTTTTTCATAGTTTTAGAACTTGTTCTACATGTATTTATAGTTCAAACATGATTATAATGTTAGAATACTCTTTTCTAGGGTATTTAACTTTTCAAGTGTCAGTACTGGGTATCAAGACTAAATTTTACTCAAAATCTCCACTTTTGGCTTCAGCAGCATGCTCAAAAATGATAGAGTAGAAAGCTTCTGCTTTTGGTATTTGTATTGTCTGCTTGCATTTTGCTCATTGTTTGATCAACTGAAGCAACACTCTTATTTCAGTTTAAGATGAGTAGTCAGTTTTAAATCAGGGATTTTTTTCTTAATAAACGTGGTTTCAGGTATCAGACTTCTTCATCCTGCTGCCTTTTCATGCTCCAGCCTTTTCAAAATTTTTGCTCCAAGAAGTCACAAGTTATAAGGAAACCTGACTAAAGATATACAAAGTACAGTCAGGGCTACAAATCAAACAGTACGGATTTCCCCTTCTTTCCCCAGTTTCTGTCTGTTACAGTAGTTTCAGGTGTAATTTGTAACATTAATGGGTAATGTTTCAGGCAGCATACTGGCAGTGACCCTTTCTAGTTAGTTGCTTATTCTGAACATCGTACCGATGAGTATGGTTATGAGATTTTCATCAATGAAGGATAAATAGAAAATAAGAGTGAGAATGCAGAGAAGTACGGGGAAAAAAAAGCAAACCAATGTTCTTTTGGGGTTTCTTTGTGGTTTGTTAATTTGGTTTGGCTTTTTGTTTTTGGTGGGTTTTTTTGAGAAGGCCTTGTCAAAATTCTGTAATATTTAAAGTCAAATCACTGGCCCGTGGAATTGTACAGAAGGCAAACATTGCCTCCACAAAGTGAAATTTACAGCACAATTTTGGAGTAGTACGTATGTGTAATTCAGTTGAATTTAATGTGAGTTATGTTGGTTTTGGACAAGTTGGAGGAATCAGATGTACCCCTAGGATAACTGCAATATTGAAATTACTGAGCCCAGTGATACAGCTAGGAAGTAAAAGATGCAGATTACTTGGCTCTCAGCACAGAACTCAGAACTCGCAGTTCTCTAGGTTTGCTTCTGCATCCCAGCAGGAGAGTTTTCCAAGAGACAGCCTGGAAAGCAACACACATGCTGAGCAGGAGGCAGCTCCTGGGCAGCCTGAGCAGTGGTGCGTGCCTTCCTTCCTGTCTCCTCCTGGGACTGCAGGGCTGGGTGTTGGGAATGGGTGTTTGCTGTTGACATTTCAAAGCATTACGCGGGAATTGTTCTTCTAAAGCATCATGAGGGATGGTATTTCACGCTGTCACTGTGTGGTTAGAGCAGCCCTCTCCTCACCTGTGTGGGACAGGACTGCTTCCACCAATGTTTCCACCTACCTACCCCAGCTTTTGAGTGCGTGGTCTTCTTACCTTGGGACACATCGGTTGCTCTCTGTGCTTTATCCAGTGCATGTTTCATATGAAATACCAACAGACTCGAAGAGAGGGAGCAGGACCACAGACGCTTGACTGTCCAGTGAGTATCTAGCTACTAGAGTGATTAATCATTGTCCCTTACTGAGGATGAATATGTGTACAGTAGTTTTGGTGGGCTCTGGGTAAACCACACTCTTTAACTACATAGCATAATACCATTGCAATGTTGTGATAAAAGTCCTGTTACAGGAAAGTATGTGTAGGAGGAGGTGCTACTTTGGCTGTGAATCAGCAGTTCAGCGTACAGTTCATTGTAAAATTTAGCCAATGTTACCTCCTTCCAAATACCAGCTTTTTTGGTATTGCCACCATTAACTTCACTAGGTTACCTGTGCTTTAAGAGGAGTGTTGTATCTTTCACTGCATGATAATGGTAAGGAAATTGAATAGCTTATATCCACATAGGCTGTTAAACGCATATTTAACATTATTAGCAAACACATGTATCCTAAGTTTTGACCAAAATGTAAGGAACATTTCATGTCTTCATAAGCAAACAACACTCGAGTAGAATACTTCTCATTGAAGCCTCTGAGTTTTATATATGAAGCAGCGTACCACCACCATGAGGCTTTAAAAGGAATGAACATTTCATGATATACAGTATCTAAATTCCTGTATTTCTAAAAACATTTTTATAATCAATAATGACGAATTAGAGACATTCCTTCCCACGTACATGAAGATGCTAAAATATTTAGTGGGATGGTGTGCCTTTAAGAAGTAGCATCTACACATTTGCTATGCATTGATGAGCTGAACAGTACGATGTTATGCGAGCATTTAAATTATAAATAGCAAATGTATAAAACTGATAACAGGCATTCTTATTGGAGTATATTAGTTAAGACAATGAATCGCTTACATTTGTTAGTATCATTAACAAGGGCTATGAAGTCAGAATTGATTTCCACAGACAGCATGTGTGCACTTCTGTAGTTTTCTGTGCAGTTTTTGCACTGCCTTTTTTGTTTGTTTGTTTTGTTTTCAGGACTTTTTACATTAGATAAGGGAATTTGAAGAGTAAAGAGTTACTTTGTTTTAGTTATGAATAGCAGAACAACAGTAATTTTTCTGGTGGACTTTTAGGGTTTGGTTTTGGGTTTTTTTGGGGGGGTTATGTCAGAATTTGAAAGTGGTCCATCACACATTTTATAAGAATGATTGTGGATGCAGCAAACTGCCTTGATGTTGTCAGTAAGATCTTTTCTGTTTGCATTGTGCTGTTACAGTGGTCACAGTCGTAAGTAGGTCACAGGTAGGGAAAGTATCCTCCAGATCCAACACATGAGTAATTGTTAGGTGGTAAATGGGAGAAGAATGCATGTTATGGAATGATTGAACTTAAGTTTATGATTCAATTCTGTACTGTGTACCAATAAGTAGGTACTTCTAAGTAGCTTTATGCATTATACTAGATGATATGAGACTGAAATACATTTAGAGTATGTTTTGCAATTTGCTCCCTTACTCATAAAATCTTTTGTACCTAAGTGCTTTAAATCCTTAAAGCTTCAATGCATATTTTGGTTAGGCTTGTTTTTGATAAAAGGATCACATTTTTGCTCTACTTGCAAAAGCAGCATGATGCACTAAATGCCCTAATTTTTAAGGTATTCTTCCATGCTTT